GAGATGGTCAAGGAACGAAAGCCTGACGGAAAGATGTGATGAGGTAGGATAGAGGGGGGACGGGATAGAGGCGGGATGCTCCAAGTAAAAGAGAAAAACTTTGAAGTTGTTTGATGACGGAGAAAGAAATCCGAAGCGCATACTTCAATAATTGGGTATCTAGGGCAAGGTGCGTAAATGGAGGAATTTTAGTTTGGAAAACTCTAAACATTCTACTAGCATCTAGCATCTGCAAGAGACAACTCACTTCCGACGAGTCAAGTCTCTGAGCTGAGCTGAGGGAGATTGCTGGCGTATCGGGTACATATTTTAAAGAATGTTTCCTACATCCGGTTCAGCATGAGTGAGGATGTCTGGGATCGTATTCCCCGCGAGCGCCTTGTCGTTTTTCTCCATCGTTCTCAAAGCTCTGAAAAGTTCTTGGAGCTTTATAAGATCGACGAGTATGATCTTCAAGCGAGAGTCTCGTTCAGCAGGCCTTTCCTTGTAGCCCGTTATGATGACGATCGCCTTCCTCTTTCCCGTTTGATTAAGGCGGCTGAGAATTAAAAGCCACGCAAAAGTGCTTGGTTCGTTGCCTGGACTGTAATGTACAACACTGGCAATGTCAACCATTCAATACTAAACACTGCTTCCACAATAAAGTCCCCTTTTTGATCAGCCAATATCATAACTTCATCTTCTTGTTTGTTTACTGCCGCCTACGCCAAAAGAACATCTTGGAGGGGCAAGAAAACGGATTCATCAACCCGACAGAAGTCTTGGCCCGCAGCCGAACTTCAACATCATCGTGATGGCCTCAAGCGAGGACTATGGATTCTCTGTCTTGAGGACAGCAATGGCTGGAGATTGAAGCTAGGCTGCCCGGACCAGTGTTTTCGCAATGTCGGATCTCCTTTCCCCAGAGAGTCCAGACCAAGTGGTTCAAGCTGAAGGACGTGTCTCAACCCCCACTACCCCGCTACCACACCCACCAGAGGAAGATGCTGAGTCGCATTCAGTATCGACCCCTTTGATAGAGAACGTCGCATTAGATTCTAGGCCAAACAGTCGCTCAGAAAGCCCAGAGAGTTGGTCTAGCTCAGGGAGTTTTTCAAGTCGTTCACAGAGCAGATCACCTCGAGTTTTCCCTCGCCGTCCTCCACGGCCTGGGGCTTGGACTGGGTACTCCTCTGGTTCTGATAGTCCCGATACTAGGAACATACCACCACCGCCTCCTCCACCTCCGCCTGCTTGGTCAACTCCTTCTACAGTCCTACCGCCACCACCTCCTCCCCCTCCTCAAAATCGGTCATGGAGTCGCTCTCCAAGTCCTTCAACTTACAGCATCCCTCCCCCTCCCCCTCCCATCACACCTCCCCCTCCTCATCCCCTCGAATGGAGACCACCAACTTCGGCGTTCCCAAACGCATCTCAAGAGCCCAGGCAAGAACTTACCCTTGAAGAACGTCGACAAATAACAAACGACATCACCGCCCGCATCATGGCCTTCCTCCTCATGAACAACTGCGCAAACCACAGCTCGGACTACGCATACTCGCTCTCTCTCTTCCCGCTCTTTCAAAAGTTGGAACCAGGATCCAAATACTCCTACCCCTCCAACCTCCCCAAATGTCTAATCTTCGTAGATCGGATAGGCTGGCTACCTTCGGACGAGGTAGCGCGGTATCTGATGATGGGATACCGAGTATGGGACGATGCTGGGCGACGTCTCCATTTCTTCGGGGAGCCTGTTGGATTCGACGGGTTGAAAGCCCCGATTCGATATCCCGCTAAAGAGATCTGTACGCAAAACCCACGACAAATGCCGGACCTGCACTGGCAGATCCAGAAAGGCGATCTCTCTCGTCCTCCTGATTCCGAAGAGTTCCTCAACCTGATGCCTTGGGATATCACACTAGCTGTCCCTGAATTCTCGCAGGAGGGAACGAATCTGGAACTTGTTCGGGGGGCGTGGATACGGAACAGGTTTAAGAATGCGAGGCCGTGTTATTTTCAAGGGGATAGTTTTGCGTATGAGGAGTTTGGGGGGTGGAAAGTTGACGTTTCGCCCTTGAAGGAGATCCCGTGTGAGGAAAGTGATGAATGCATCGTTGATCAGTATCCGAGGCTAGGAGTTGATCTCCAGTGTTTGACGACCGTGTACCCACCTACACACGTTACTTTGAAAGAGAGCAGTGGCGTGCAGAAATTATGTGAACTGTGTGGCACACTTGATTTCAAAGATCTGTTTGAGTGGGGTTTGGCAGATGTGGAGATTGATTTCGGGACGACTGAGGAGTTGATGGTGAGGGATGACTGTGATTTCTGTTTCTTGCTAAGGACGCTATGTCAAGATGGCCTGGATCATTTACGTAGACAAGATAAAAACGCGGATAAGGAGGACGACCACGGGTTCAACCTCACCGAACCCATTCAAGCGCTGCTCATCCGCGATCCAGGACATTGCCTCTCAACCAAACCGTGTCTCGTCCTCACCCAGAGCTACCATAGAGAATATCTCGGTCCCATCGTCTCGCTGCGTACCGTGCGCGGAGAAATAAGGGGGGAGTTCTCGCTTGAGGATCGGCGATTTGTTGATTTCGACTTGTTGAAGAGGATGATTGACATCTGTGCTTACGCGCATCCGGAGTGTAAACGGGAGAAGTTGGAGGAAGAGAAGATAATCCTCATTGACGTGGAAAAGATGTGTTTGGTGCAAGTCAAAGACGTGAATTATATCACACTCAGCTACGTATGGGGCAACAAACCAATTTTCAAGACAACGACGGAGAACTTCCAAAGTCTGCAAATCCCTGGAGCTCTTGATTCAGTATCGGGACTTACGCGAGATGTAGCGAGCGTCGTGAAGGGGATAGGGTTGAGGTATCTCTGGATCGACGCACTTTGCATCATTCAAGACGACGAGGACCATAAGAAGATACAAATTGGTCGCATGGCAGATATATACGGTCAGTCCTGCATCACGATCGTTGCCTTGACGGGAAGTGACAGCGACTCTCCACTCCCTGGGATCTCTACCCCTCGTCCGCAAGTAATCTCAGTTGTGCAAGGCATGCCATTCTCATTCCACCTCTCAGGTCTAACCCAAACAGCGCACGATCAAACATACGAGACCCGAGGCTGGACGTTCCAAGAACGGCTTATCTCGCGCCGGTGCCTGTATTTCAGCGACCGACAAGTCTTTTTGGAGTGCAGGAAGAGCTGTGCGAGCGATCACGAGCAGCAGTTTCCGAAACAGGATAGAGGACGGTATGGCGTGCCTTTGAATCCTTTACATGCACTGCACTCGGGGGATAAGAATAAGAACGAGGAAGGGGGAGGAAAATTTTTGCTAAGCGCGCTTGAGACGTACATATCAGTCGTTTGCGAGTATACAGCGCGAACTCTCTCTTACGCTTCTGATATCGAGAATGCATTCCTCGGTATCCAGTCCTTCATGACGCGGAAGCTGGGGTGGAGATTCATCGCCGGGTTACCAGTTGGTGTGTTTGACTGGGCGTTGTTATGGGTACCCAAGGGCCAGTTGAAGAGACGGTCATGGATTGATAGGAAGGGGAAGGTAGTGAGGCCGCCGAGTTGGAGTTGGATGGGGTGGGAAGGACAAGTGAGTTTGGCTCGTTATACGTATTTGCATAAAGTGTTCTTCTTGCGGATGCGACCGAGGATTGAAGAGTTCGTAGTACGGATCCGAGACGAGAAGATTGAGATTTGCCGTGAGAAGTCGGAGGTTTGGCATGGTGATGTTGATGTTGATGTTGTGAAGGATGCAGATACAGATGCTTCTGTTTCGTTAGAAAGAGATATCTCGTTCACGCAATTCCCGACACTGGAATTCAACGCGGAATTCATATCAGCGTTCCAGCCTAATCCGTTCTCCTCTCGCCACCGCTCCCGTCGCCACCGCCGCCGCCATCATAAGACGGTCAACACACAACCCACTACTCCACGACAAAGCACACTCTTCTCACACTCCATCGAATGGCTCACGACCGGTCCATCCTACGGCATGTTACGTCACGGGCTACGATACAACTACAACGACTCTGTGCAAGAAGTGGCAGAGACGTATGACCCGGGGAGGTTGGCGCTGATTGCACTTGCGGAGGCAGATTTGCAGTTTACGGTCCGTGGGGGGCAGTTTAACGAGGACAAATTGTTTGAGGAGGAGGGACAAGTGGTTGTTATGCTCGTCGTGAGGGTTGACGGGGATGAGGGGGGAGATAGAGAAGGGAGGGTAGAGGCGGACGGGGTGGTGTATGAGAGGTTGGCTATTGGGTATTTGCACTTGGATAGTTGGGTGGCGATGCAGCCTGAGAGGAAGGTTTTTAGACTTGGCTGATCAGGAGTGTACTACAGTGAATAATGAGGCTCGACTGTTCGTGAGCCTGAAATAAGACACAAACATGATCGAAGTGGCGGGTGTGAGATGCAGAGTTTGAAGTCGTGGAGGAACGACGTTACGTTTTCAAAGATCTGAATGAAAGAAACAAGGAGAATTTGACACTTCACCGAATAGTCACATCCTCCTTTTTTATCATGCTCGATCCTAGCATGTTTCTTGTTGGTACGGTTATAGCTGTATTTCATTGTTTCCTCTTGGTATGTTCGCTTGCATTAAGACCTCCTCGTTTTCCTTCTAGACCGAGACGCATCAATAACGTATCACATACATCACGTCGTACTTTCCCGACGCTTGTTATACGTAAGATCTTGCATTTTTTTTAGTTGCAACTTAATAACAACTTAAGCAAGGACCGTCTTTCTCGTTGAATCACATAGTGCAAAGCTCACCGAACCGAGCCCTCGTATTTCTGCCACGGGACTTCAGGAGGCGACACTCGCTTCACTAGCCTCGCCTGATCAAAAAGAAAGTCGGCCTGAGAATTCCTAGAAAAAAGGAACTCATTTCAAAGAATTGAAATAGTGAATGAAGTGTACTGTTAATTAAAGAGCTATATTCTCTATCTCCAAAACCACAAAAAAAAAAGGATCAGAAATGAGCCACGCAGGGGTCGAACCTACAATCTCTTGATTCGAAGTCAAGCGCCTTGCCATTGGGCCAGTGGCCCTGATATTTCTGATTGGACAGAAGAAGGCCTTATTTAATATTATATTAGCTATCTCTGTGCGCGCTATCAGACCGGATACTTTCACACGGTGGGGCTCAAGCTTGTGTGAAGGTGGGCTGGGCCGGCTCGGCTGCCCTCCCCGGTAAAGCCGAACATTTTACTATTCCACCTCACTTTTATACTTTCAGGATGAATGTAAAAGATGGGTGTACTTACCGAGAACCAGGAATTCGCTTAGAGTACTCTTTAAGAAGCCCTTGGCTCGATTCTGAGTCGTCTTCTAGAATAGTCAATTCATTTCTGTGAGATGAACTTCTTGCCTGACAACCCCGCTTGCAAACCACCAGCCAAGACCCCTGAAGAATCATCATGACGACCCCTCTCCAAACCAAGAGCCGCCGTCCCTGCAAACCCGAAAAGGAAAGCGCATGCTCCCTTTTTCTCCATCCTCTGCATCTCCATCTTCCTCTAAGAAAAATGTCACATGCATCCGAGACCTCTTCCCGTCTACACAGCAGATGAGGAGTCCCTCGGTAAAAGTGGGCCAAGAGTGGAAATCCGGGGTCTAGCGTTGCTGATCTTGTGTACTTCAAGGTGTAGTATCCCTCTTAGGTGGTCTTTGTATCTGGTAATAGTGTGAGAACAGGACAGCTCAGGGGTGTGGGAAGAGTGGAGGGCGTCGTGACGATGATGAGGTGGAGGATATATCAGGATGGCATATCCACTGAAAACCACAACGAATTCGATCAATAGAATCATTTATTTCAAGCCACACATTTCAATCAGGACAATATACACACACTTGATCACCAAAATCTTTCTCGTGCCCCAGACGACACCAAATAAACACTATGTTCCGCCTCCCTCTCCTCTTCCTCACTTCCCTCCTCCTCCCTCTCACTCTCTCCGCACCCTCGCCATCCCTCGAAACCAGACAAGGCACAGGCTGCTTCTGCGGCGTGATAACCGGTCTCTCTTGCGGATCTCGCACCTCCACCGGGCTCTCCCTTTCTGGCGATTGCGCCACCGGAACGCTGTACAGCTGCGCGGAAAGCTACGATAATGCTGTTGTGAGTAAGCGGTGCTTGATTTGTGATACGAGTGCACAGGATGGGTATGATAGTTGTTTGTTGGGGCTTGGTTTGTAGGACTGGGCGCAGGAGAGGGGTAAAATGAGAGATGAATGACTGGGGATATGAGAAGGTTAGGAGTCCGTGTATATCCTGTACAGAACCAACGAATTTCCTCCCTGGGTATAGTATTTACTAGACTAGGTCGTACATTGTGCGGCGGTAAATAAGCAAGAGGAAGTTACTCTCAATTTCGAAGATCAAAGACCCATCATGTCTCGTCTTACAAAGATAACTAGTTCTGCGTACCGTAACATATATGCCGCAATTTATGTGCCGCTGAGTATGTATGCATGCCGCTCGAAAATATTTGTATGCCGTTGTAGTTATGCCGCGTTGGTTACAGAGCCAGCTTCCATTTATGTCAACTTTCAAATCGAGAGACCTTATTACGCAACCTGTACGGTATATGAAAAATAGACCCGCAATTGGCAACCAAAACAACATACCTTCCAAAGGGGATCCTTGACCATCCTAAAGGTAGAGCAGCGCTCAAGGCTCGGACTTTGTCTCTCGCGACACTGCCAACTATATCCTTATTGGAACCATGTATCTCCTATCTGCCCTTGAAGCTAATCTAAATTTCTATAGCTTCATAAACATAACTCAAATCGAGTTGCAGACTATCTGCCTCAATATGGACCTTTCTTGGTATGAAGGACAACCTAGGACATCATATAAAGAGATTGTGGACTGTATAAATCATCCTACCACCCTTAGCAAGATCTGTTCGAACATCAAAACGAATCGCCTCCATTTTTCGGCATCAGATATTGCAGAGGAAATACAGAAGTCGACTGTGGAACGCTATCAAAGAATAGGCCTAGGCAACGACCGCCGGTTACCAGAGCATGGATAAGGATACAAGGATACCCTATGAAACGCCCGATTGAGGCCACAGGGAAGCAATACCAGGATTATGAGCACAAGGCGGTAGCCTATCTCTACTCTTTGGAATACGACTCCGTCATTAGCCAAACTCTGACATACACGAACCCCCGTACAACCGCAATCACGTCACTTCTATACGAGACGGAGATTACTATGAAGCGGGAAATGCGAGAGAACACCAATAATTATAGGGAGCAGAATCGGACGGAGGACGACTTTCTTTTAGAAGGCGTCCTCCTAGCCATAAGAACTAGTCTTGTAGGATATTTTTCTCGGTAGTTAATCAAACTCAGCATGGATTTTCTCTAATGGTTCCTTGGTTTGTGCCAATCACTCTTTTCTTGTGCTGAAATGTGGCTCGCTAGGCAAGTACATAAACTGCTCAGCCCAAACCCTGGCACCACTGACATTTGATTGCCATGGACTCACCTGGGAATAGAATTATTATAGTTTACATATTTGGTGTGTTCCTGAACATTTGATTTATCAACCATCTAAATACTAGGGCTCAGTTTTCAGTTCTGACGTTCATACACTCAACCATATTTAACTCCATGTGGGGCGGCTCCTTACGAAGACACGAGATACTGTGCAACACGAATCTAGACGATATTTTTTGGCCCCAAACCCAACCAATGCTAGAAAGACTTTAGGTCTTGCATTGCCTAACTGAGAGTTATACTTTCTGCACAACCAAATCTACCTTGCTTATCCTTTATTGCACTGGCATTAAACGATGCATAATTCCTCCCCTTGTGGGCTAGGGCGCTTCACTTAACCGAGCTGCTTCAACCTCCGTCTTATCCTGACTATATGTAGGTCCTTCATGCAGTAAACAACTTGTTCAACATACTCTCAGTCAAGCTGCTAGATTACTTCGGTATGGAGCCTAGCCTAGCCTACACTATCGATTACGATGAGTCGTCGAGCAACTCTACTCCTTGCCTAACGCCCTCTGCCTCGAACCAGGCCTTAGAAACCAAACCCGAATCCGTTTACCACTACTCTCCTTTCAAGATATTCGCCGAAAACGCTTCCTTTCGCCATGAAGAGAATTCGAAATATGCCAGAATCATGGACGCGTTCAGTGAATACGGCGTAGGGAAGGACCTGGATCATCCTCGTGTAAGCCAACCGGCGACCCCTCAAGTGTAGTATGAAATCGGCGCTGACTACTTATTGATAGTTCGTCCTAGTAGGATCGAGATCTTGTGGGAAGTCAAGCCTCTTGGAGAATCTGACTGGAATCGATGTTCCTGTTTCGATTTATCTTGGCACGAGTTTCCCGATTGAGATTAACCTTGTTCGGGATACCGAGGCCCAGACTACATGTACCATTGAACCGGATGAGAAAGCATCAGACGAAGTACCACGCGCTGTAAGCGAGTATAAACGTGTTGTTAGGAGTTTCATGACGCGGGAAGAGCTTCGGGGTATGCTCCGAGAGGTTCAAATGTCCCACATGCGATAGGAAAATAGACTGACTGATCCTTAGCAGGTAGCCAAGATAATGGACGTCCTAAAACCTCTCTTTGCACACGAAAAGTCTGATCCCAGGTTTGCTGCATCATCTGGACATGTATCTTGCTATCGATTGCGGGTCGAGATGAGAGGACCAATGTTCCCCACCATGACCTTCATCGATACTCCTGAGTTACCTCAAGGTAAGCTCCCAAATTTTATCGCATGCCTTTTGCTGATATGATATGTAGGAGGGAGCTCAAATGTGAATACCAAGACTACAGTTCAGGTCGAGGACTTAGTCACTTCGCTTATCAAAGATCCGAAAACAATCATCATGTAATCCAATCCTCCATCCTACTGGACACATACTAATGATATCACAGCACCGCCATGGAAGCTACAGCCAAAATAGAGAGCCAGAAGATGCTCGACTTTGCAGAAGCCGTTGACCCCAACGGAACAAGAACCATCAGCGTTATGACAAAATGCGATTTGGTAGATGCCAATGATGCGGATCAATTTCAATGTGTAAGTCGAGTTATACCATCACAAGCTACAAACTTATCGGATCTAGGTTCTCCGCCGTAGTAAGAACGAGGAGAACAAATTCCAGCATGACTGGCATCTTGTCAAAAACCGGACTTGTGAGGAGGTTGACATGTTCGATGAAGCAGCACTCGCTAAGACCAAGGGAAAATCTAAAATGTCACTTCTCGGATCAAGGACTTGGCATGTGGGAAGTAGGTCAGTACTGGACACTGATCGTATTGGGGTTACCAAGCTACGTGATGGTTTGGTTGATGTTCTATGTGCTCGTACCCGGGTCGGCTTTCCTGGTCTCAGTCAACAGGCTTCTGAACTCTTGCCTCGAAGGAGGAAGGATCTCGAAAGTCTGGGACCTGACCGGTCGACGCTGAAGGGGCAAAGGGAATATATGAAGACTCTCGTTCGTGAATATCAAGGACCAAAGACCCTCTGCTTGGATGACGGCTCTGGTCGAGAATCACTCTTTGCCACGTCGCTACTGCGAGACTTGACTACTTTGGGGAAAGCTGGACTGAAGATGAGATTGGAGAAAGAGGGACCATCTCGACCTTTTCAAACACCGACAACAGGGATGGAAGACGTATCTCACAAAGAAGCAGGAGACACCGATTGCGAAACGAGCGACAACATTTACACCTGGATCAGTTGTCGCTACCAGTCCATGAAGTGGAATACCATCCCTGGAGTAATTCCACCCGCACTAGTGGATCGACTATTCGAGGAACAGACTGCGAACTGGAGCGTAATCACGAGCGAGTTCATCACAGAAGTCCAAAAGCTCTTCGTACATGTGATAGAGAAATGCCTGGATCGGACGTGCCAGAATGCTCGCGTCGCAGGTGCGCTAAAGCAACTGATCACCACAGATGTCATGAAGAAGTTGAAGGACCTCCGAAAGGTTTGTGATAAGTTGATGGAGAATGAACGGGATGGGTTGCATGAACTTGCAGGAAATAAAGAGTTCGTTAA